TTTAATTTCATTTACCAAGCATTTACCATTTCTCTGAGTTATTTTAAAAATGAAAATCCAATTTGGTACGCTCAATAAAAGCTGAAAAAGTCATTAACCTTGTGGCTGGAAAATGTTTAAACCAAGAAGTTAGTTTTACAAAATCTTAGGTTTACTTTTCCCCTAAGCTGCCAAGAACAAAGAAAGCGTTTTTCAAAAATTAAATAAACCTCCTTAGGAAGCTCAATTAGGGCCTGCAACTTGAATTAAACTGCCACTACAAAAGGAAAACTGTTTACGAAGAAATTTCCCACTGTATCAGCAAAGTTAACATATTTAAAACTAAAGATATATACATATATATATATATATACTATATAAATCCCACCTTAATTGTCGCCGTAATATTCCTCACGAAAACCAAACAGAGATTTCCAGAACATTTTCCAGCAGTGGCGGCAGTTCGTGGTGAAAGTGGCAAAAGGCGGGGGCTTTTGGTGAGGATTAAGTTGATGGGCGGCCAGAGGAAAAAGACTGGGGGATTGGGGAAACAAATTAATTCTGAAATCCAATCGGAACGCAGTGCACGCACATAAAAAACAGCAACACAAACATTCGCCCAGAACCAAAACGAAACAAAACGAAAGGCGAATCAAATCGAGATGAGGTGGGGTGCGGTGCGGTGCGGGTGGGTGTGTATAAAAAAGAGTGTTACAAGCGGAACTTTCTACCCCCCCTCACATAAAGCAGAAGCTGGGGAGTTTGGGATCTGCCGCATGCTGCAAGTTCAAGGTCAACGCCGTGGGGCAGCCAGACACGAGCATCGAAAGTGTTATTGCAGCAACACTGCATGGGGCTAGCTCTGCTGGATCGGCGGACTATATCCCATTGGCCGGGAGCGGAGCCACAGGGAAAGTCGAATCCTTAATCCCCATCACTCAGCCGGATGATGGATGCATGTGACCATGCAACCATACGGCATTCCTTGTACAAAAAAAAAAAGCAGCAGGCAAATCGATTGAGAGGCGAGGTAAGTCGAACTAAGAGTATACTATAGTGTTATATATTCATCGAATCAGGCAATAATTCTAAGACTTAACTGTGGCTTTAAGATGTTTGAACAAGCTTAACTTTAGAGAACTCAATTCATGATTTTTAAGAGGGATTTCCGCAGAATTTGCCACTAAAAACCATTCTGAAAACTACATTTCTAGTTCTAATCCCTTAACAATACATAACTATAACCAAGATTTGTTTTGCTGACACATTTATATTGGTACTTATTTAGTTCTTAAAGAACTAATATACCCCACCTTAAACTTAATACCCTTTCAAGGGGTACATTCTCATGGCAAACTCGAACCTAAAAAAACTGAAAAGTGAAGCGGGAATGTGGAGCGGACAGCCGCGATAATGAAACACAAACTCTCTCGTCTCAAAAGCCCAAAACTGAAACTGACAATCAAGTGAAATGTGAACGAAATGGGCGAGCGGTGGGGGTGGCACGGAGTGTGTGTGGGCACAAACACAAGCAAACAGAGAAACAAACAAACAAACATCCCATTCGCACAGATACAGAGAAAGCCGCAACAAATTTCAACAGTGAGGGCTAATAAATATGTGCACAGATAAAAAATAATACAAAATATTTTATAAATTAAATAATAAATAATTCCCTATGAATATTTAAAAAGAATTACTAAAATGTCCATAAATATTTGAAATTTTCTTTCCTTTTAAAGTTTATCATTAAATTACATAATTTTCTTGCAGTGTTTCAGCACTCCAGAGCCTCGGCCCAAACAGACAGGACAATTGAGCGACAGAGAAGACAGGGGATTCGGGGATTCGGGGATTCGGGGTATATCAAGCGATTCAAAGGGCAGGACAAAGGAGGAGTGACCCGAGGACGTGGGCAATCAAATTTCCACCAAGGCAACATAACACATAAAAAGCCAAGTGTTTGATGTCCTTTGTCCAACGCTCACGTTGGCTCACTCTTCACTCTTCACTGTATTTTTTTTGCTTGCTCTTCTTTTCCCTTTTTCTTATCTCCTTTTTCTCATTTTTTTTTTTTAGACAAGTTCGGGTGCCAAAAGTAACGTAACAAGTTCGGTCCGAAAGTTTTGCAAAAATGTTGCGTTTATGCGGGGGGAAATTCAAGAAAATTAAAAATGAAAACAGTTAGTATTGTTTTTTTTTAAGTGCCCTTTAAATTTGGCATTTTTCTGCAACTTTCAAAATATTTTTGGCAAATTATCAACATTTTAGTTTTTTACCCCCAATATTTCCCTGCATGAACCTCATTAACTCGGGCAATAGAGCCAGCAACCGGACGACACGTATGCCTGGAGAGAGCCTGAAGAGTCGGGTCATTCTGCGTCGCAAAATAGTATATATCACCCTGTGCCACGTTTCCAGCCACGCCTCCCCTTTGGCACATGAGCTTGGACGCCCTCTTTTAGGGGAGTTCCATCAACTTTTGTGGCCCCACCTCCTGTTTGCTGCCGCTGCTATTGTTGGGAAATCCAAGTAAACAGAGAAAGAGAAAGCGAGTTCATTGCCGCCCACCGGATCCTACCCCCCTACCCCCTAGAATCCAATCCTCTCTGAATTCCCAGGCTGGCTGCATCCCCCCTGCTATGCCCCTGTTGCTTGTCATTTGCTGCTTCATATTTCTTCATTGCCATAATGAAGACCAAAACAGAAGGCAAAACAGCCAGGCGAACTGCAATAACAGTGGGTTATAGGGGTAACGCCCCCCTTTCACCACCACCCCCCAGGACAAAAAAAAAAAGGACAACCGCCGGGCAAAGTAACACGTAAATTAATCGCAATGGCAAAAGTTATTTGTTACCCCCTGCAATTTACATGGCCAATTCCAAGGGGACAGGGAAACGCCAGAACACACTTTTCGACTCAAAGTAACTTTATGTGGTTTGAATTATGCGAGTACACAGGAAAAATGTTTTCTTTCGAAAGGAAAATTAGGAAATTTCTCATTTACCTGTTACATTCTATCAAGGATATCATTTACTTTAATGTAGACAAGCTATCTGTGGACACAAAAACTTTATCTAAACACATCCATCACTATCCTAGATAGGATTTCTAAGGCCATGCTGGCATGGCTCAGATTCTATTAGCCAAATGTTTAGGCCAGAGGGCTGCTTCTGTCTTAAGTACATAGAAATTGAATTAGTTAGCGGAATAGGCTTGGGTCTAAGGGAGAGCTAATATAATTCAGAAGGTCACTATTCTTAGAATCCATCTGTTGTCTAAGATAGACAGACAAGAATGAGACTCATCTGTAGGCCAGCTTTACTTTGAATTCGCCATGTCTTGGCCAAAAATAAACCCATAGATAAGGTCAATTGCCAGCAAATCGATAGATCATAAACTATATATTCAAATTGCTGCAGTTGTTAGAAGGGCAAATCGCTTGCCAATGGCTAGGAAATTAAATTACAACACGCAATTTGGCCCAAAAGCAAACAAGGATGAGACGTCGATAAATTCAATTATCTGGCTGAGGATAAACAGATATCTATATCTATATATCCACTGTGGTTAGATGTTGGCTCGAAAAGCGGCGATTGCCTGCGGTTTATTCTAAATTAATTTTCAAGTGGCCGCCCCTCAAGAAAGACAACAGAAACGCCAGTGGAAATCAAAGTCAAGTTCTTTGGGGGGACTCAAACTGTAAGAGATGGGGGTTTTGCCAAGAAGGAAAAACAAAAAAAAAGCCAAAACGAAGCTGACAATTTAATTTGCGAGCCGAAAGGACCCAGGACAATGACCTTGCCAAGTGTCCGGATGAAACCGATACGGCGACTTGGATAGCCATGCCTTTCCCTCCCAAAAACCCATTAGAAATCAAAACCCACAAGAATCGTGCCACCGAAAATATGCCAGACAATCAAGAGTCTAATTGGGAAAATACTTAAGGCAGCAGAGGGAAAAATAATGAAGAAAAACTTTATGAAAAATTTGTTTCTTAGAAGATTATGTCCAGCTAAAAATCATTATTCTTCATGCAGAACTATTCCTTAATTATATACATTTTAAAAACCTTTAAAAACCAAAAGTTAAAAGTCAGAAAACCTTTTCTAATTGTTCTCACTGCCTGCCTGTCGAAGTCGAAGGAAAAGCAGAAGGGTTTAATTGGAAAATGACTTTGAGTCCAGAAGGAGTTTTAAGCAGAGAGACGCCTCGGGAATAGCCAGTCGTCCATCCGTCTCATTCAATTTCCACCAGTTGGAGAGACAGCAAATTATCCGGTTTCCCACTGATGGGTGGTTGTAAACTGAGCCGGAAAAACGATGGGGGGAAAGTGTGAATGGCATCCGTTAGTCGCAACAAAAGAGGCTCTCTGACGTCTATGGGCATCATTATCATTGTCACTCCGGTTCCGATGCCCATTCCCACGGCAATTACCCATAGGAATCGGACAGGTGGGATCTGTGAGATGCTGTGACCTTGATCCCTAATGGGATTCCGGTTCATCTGAACATCTGGACACCCTTTTGGATGTGGGCTGCTTAATCAGGCAAAGTGACTAACATGATGATGCAACCAATTTAAATCGTTATCGTAGCATACTTCCCAGCTGCCACAAAGAGACTTGCCACGAAACTGTTTTTCTTTGAAAGTAAGTAAGTACTATTATGCAAGTTACTAAAGGATTTTAAGTGAAATATAAACCAGTTTCCCTCTCATTCCCATTTCTCAATGTTAAGGCTTCCTGCATTATCATCAAATAGCAAGTTTTTAAAATGATTTCCTAGTTCACTGTACTAAATGTTAGTTCATATGTATAAAGTACTTAAGTATTTCACTGCCAACGCAGTGCAGATCGACAAGAACTCAGTTTTCTAACAACTATACGGCTTAGTATTTCAGTTGATCACCAAAATTCTCTCTTAAATATAGTGTTTTAAAGTTTTAGGCATATAATTAATTAACAATTACCTACTCTTTTGGTTTCTTCTAAGTAAGTAACATATAAAAGGGTCACTTACCGCAATTTTCCATATTATTTTATGTTGTTATTGAAGCTATTTGATTGTTGAGCATTGCATTCGTTTTTCCATTTCCATTTCAATTTTCTTTGCATATATTTCACATACATATTTCACTTGTTCCACAGAGCCTAATTTGCGTGTTCACAAAATAAAAAAAAATGTATTAAATCAGTGAAAAAACAGATATTTAATAGGCGCTTACCTTAATTTTCCATATTATGCATCGGAAGATTTCGCATTTAAAAAAAATGTATACCTTCTCATTTCACATTTCCCCATTCCCCCATTTGCTTACAAAACCTGGCTAAACTTTAAATTAAATCAATGTAAAATCGAACAAAACGCAGTCCATCAATCACTTCTTGCATATTCTTTACCCTATTCCTAGCACTTTGTAAAACCAAAACAAAAATGTTATCTGGCAATGCAGCTCTTTATGAATGACACCCGAAAAGCGAGAGCAAAAACTGCAGAGAGAATTCTAAGTCGCAGACGCAAAAGAGACGATTTAACAGTTAACTTTGCTTATCTTGACTTCTTACTTCTTTGCCTTTCCTTTCATCTTTCTCATTACACTTAAATTATTTTTAGTAGAAGTTAGTAGAAAATAGTATTATTTGTTATTAAACACATATTAAAAAAACTATTAGACACTTTCGTAAATTTTAAAAATATTTCAATGAAAGAAAAATATTTTGTGGCCACTTACCCCAATTCCATATTGGGTGTTTTACCTTTTTCTCCGAGTGTATTCCAGATAGGTTTGCATATTTCGGCTATGCTTGTGCATACATCATACAAATATACATATATATGTACATATGTACATACATAAAAGAATAGATGTAGATGCGCACACACACATTTTCACTTGGCCAGCGGAGCCCTATTTGGATTTTGGCCTATAAAATAGATTAATTTCTCATTAAATCAATATGTATTGAAAGAAACACAAGGCACAGTCCTCTAATTGTTATTTAAGCAATAAATATAGATCATTTAACGCTTTTTAACCCCAAAAACAAGATTTAAATGCAATATGTAGACACACACACATGCACTTTGACTTGGCCATCGCAGACCTCTTTGCATTTCGGCATTGAAATTAGCTAAACTCACCATTAAACCAAAATATATTGATTAGGTTTATAAACACAATCCTATGATCACTTTTTATTACATTTTAATTCACTTATTAACACTTTTTAAACGCACTAACAATTTTCACTTGCAGTCCGGGGATGCCACTGGCTAAGAATGACAAGTGAAAAACCGTAATTCGAGAGCAAGAACTTTGAGCGCGGGCGGGAAAGAGAGGATAAGCTTTACAAAGATCTTGGATCTGCCTCTCCTCTCTCGTTTTAACAGCTTTTAAAGCATTTCAAATAACAGTTAAAATGAAAGCACACTTGTTGTTATTATTTATAAGTAAATTAGTTCCACATTTTTGTTTGTTAGTAATTAAAATAAATTAACTAAAGTGGAATCGGAATTTAAAATTAAAACTATACATTCATGCATTTGTGATAAAGTTTAATTTAAATATTTGATTTTACAGCTGCATTCTGTTGCGTTGCATATTTTGTTGCAAGCAATAAATTTCTCATTAAAATTAATTAATTTGTGAGATGACAAAAAACCAATTTCATTGTAGAATTTATCACATATTTATATATATATATTCAGTTCGCATTGTTCAATTTCAAGGGGCATGAAACCGGCATTCAAGTACATATTTTGTTGGAATTTAAGTTTAATCCGGTAATGAGCTTTCTGTTGGGTCCTAAGTGGCACTCTATAATCCCGCACACCTGCACATCCTCATCTATTGTATGTATGTACATCCGCATCCACCCTTTCTGTTATGAGCATTTCACGCCCAATTAGATTGGTAAGGTTATAAAGGTACATGCATACATGAACTATTATCCCTGGTTTCTCCTTCTACATCTCCATCTCGACCTCGTCCTCGTTCCCCCGGATTCACCCCATTTAATCGCAACCCATTCGAGGAGAAGAGTTCACTGGGGGCAATAATAGCGATGATAATGACTATGATTATGATGATGGGGGTCATGTGAGGACGTCGACTGACAGCCCCCGTCGCTAGAAACCGTTAACAATTTCTGACATTTTGATTTATAAATTCCCCACCATAAATTCCACCTCCTTGTTTTTCCACGTCTATTGTTCCTCCTGTTCTTCTTGGCCCTTTTATTTTTCTTGCTCTTCTTCTTGTTTACGAAAATGAAATTTACGTTTGATCCCCAAACTGCAAGGAGTAAGGAGTGTGAGGTTTTTCTTTCGTCGAAAATTGGCCAAAAAATGTGGCAGGAGAAAACTGGCAAAAATTGCTCCATCAGGCCCCAACGGAGAAATGGGAGAAATAACAACCAGAATGGGCCAAAGTTCAACCAACGCTCTGCTCTCGGTTCGATGCCATAAAATGTTATTATACACTCGAGTGTGTACCGAATATTTGGATCTACTGGTGTGGGAATCCCCAGCCTTGTAAACCAGTTCACAAAAACCCCGATCAAATGTCTTAAACAATCAAAAAACAATATGAGCGCTGTTCTTGCTTTTAAATCTGTATGGTGGTGGTCTATGATGATTTTTCTATCGTATCAAACTACCTTAAGACTTGATATAATTTTTCTAGAATTTATAATTATATTAAAAGCGAATTTTAATGGAGTTTTTATAAAAGGAAATCTCTAAAAATATTTTATATCTAATCTTAAAGGCAATAAGAATCCCAACAAAGTGTCACGCATCCTGTGGAAGTACTCACGGCAACGCCGCCAGGAGGCGCCACTGGCGGAATGTAGATGGCGCCGGCACTCAATCAAGCCACAATTGCCAGTGCTGGCCAACCGTCGAGTGTTTTGATTAAACGTTTCGCTTTAATTGCTCCATCATCATTGCGGCGGTGGGTGGCTGGCTGGTTGGTTGGTTGGTAGGTGGTTAGTGGCTGATGGCCGTTGGGTTGGTGCCATGCCCCGCAGTATGGTGCACTCCATGTGCGTGCCTCAGTGTGGTTCACTGGTGAAGTGACGCGTACGGGCAAAGACCATTGAACTTTACCATGCCACAGGGACTAGATGGCGATGGCTATGAATATGATATGACCATTAGCCACAGAAATTAGCCGTTCGTGTTTGATTGATTTTGAAAAGTAAGTAAAGGCAATACAGGTATGTTAAAGTATGTAATTCTGCGTGACTAGAGCACATTAGCCACATATGTATCTGTCATAAAATATTACATTTTCAGAGTGTATTCCTAAAATATAATCTCTCAGATGCCTGCCACCAACTCCATCAACAAGTTAAGCCTGTTTTCGAGTGAGATGTCAGAGAGTCGAATCTCGCAAAATAAATACCTGAGCACACGATCCCTCCTCCTTCCCAACTATGAACATCGATATCTTCTTGTTCACACGCCCATTAAAATATTCCAGTAAAACACTTCTACCACACGAACAATCCGATTACTCGCCTTATCACAAGTGCATGCGAGAGAAAACAACAGCAGAAGGCCAAAAGTAGCCACAAGGAATGTGAAAGGTCGAGGAGTAAATACCCTTTCCTGAAATTAACTCACTTATAACACCAAGTAATACATTTTAAAAATATATCTTTACTTTTGTAACAAGGACTTTACGTTTAACAGCAGAAATAGTAGTATATAAGCTCAACTATATTACAAACTTTATTATAAAATTTACATTTTTCAATTAATAATTACCATTTCTGAAATGCATTTTTTGATAAGCGTGTCCTTAAACCACAAAGCCATCATAATCAAACATGTTTTTGAAATATAATTAAAAAAAAACATGTCTGATTACCACCAAAGTTAGTTGACTTCTTCGGCAGGGTATTATCTCCGTCAACAAAGGAGATATAAAGACAAAGCGAGAGTATAAAACAATTCCCCAGCAATCGGAGCTCCAGACCTCAGCTGCTCGAGCTGTCTGCCACATCGGTTTCCCTGTTTATCTCCGTAATACTTTCGAAATGCCACGCCCAGTGCTGTTAATCCACGGCGGAGCCGGCGATATATCGGACTCCAGAATCGTGGGGAAGTTCGTGGGCATAAAGCAGGCCCTGCGATCCGCCTGGGGGCTATTAAATCCAGAAAATGGCAGCGGAGGCAGTGCCCTGGACGCTGTGGAGGCGGCGGTGCGCAGCATGGAGCTGGACGAGAACTTCAATGCCGGATATGGTTCCTGCCTGAACACCAGTGGCCAGGTAGAGATGGAGGCCAGTCTGATGGAGGGCCAGGATTTGCGAGCTGGCTGCATAACCCTGCTGCGGGACGTGATGCATCCGATAACTGTGGCTCGTCGCCTGATGGAGAAAAAGCGGCATACCTTCCTCGGTGGCGAGGCCGCCCAGGAGTTGGCTCTGGCCACTGGAAGCGAGAGACTACAGCCTGGAGCACTGATCACCGAGGGTGCTCGCTTTACACTAAAGGAGTTCGAGGAGCAGGTGGCACAGGGCAAGGATCCTTTCTTTGCGCGCACGGAATTGGCCGAGGACAAAGTCACACCGAAGACAGATCCCAGTGGTGAGACCGTCGGTGCTGTGGCCATGGATGCAAGTGGTCAGATTGTGGTTGGTACTTCCACGGGTGGCATCACAGGCAAGTGGCCAGGCCGCATTGGTGACACACCCATTCTGGGCAGCGGTACCTACGCAGATAACTTACGCGGAGGCGTTTCAACCACTGGACACGGCGAGACCATCATGAGATATAATCTGGCACAGCGCATCCTGGCCGCCATGGAGTACCAGGGACTTTCTGCTCAGGCCGCCGCCGACAAGGAGTGTCAGGAAATGACCAAGCGGCTGGGCGGTACTGGTGGAGCCATCGTTGTCGGCAAGTCCGGTGATCTGGGCATCAGTTTCACTTCACATCGCATGGCCTGGGGATATGTGCAGGATGGCATCATTTTCTACGGCATCGAGGGTCAGGTGGTGCACCAGGAGCCGTTCACAGTTCCCACATAGGGTGTTCAACAATCTTGGAAACTTACACCTAAAAATAACTTGATGTCTAGATGGCAATCTGAACAAATTTAACGGTCTTTTAAAATTACAGAAAATATTGACAAATATTAAATAAAGTTTTTTAAAACTTTTACATTAAAAATGTAAATGAAAATCTAAAAGTATAACTTTCTTTAAATTTAAATAGTTTTCTTTCATTTGATAAAAAAGCATTTATTTTCTTACACCTATTTAATGACAACAATAGAGAGATGTCCTATGATGGGCATATTATCCCTTGCTACTAAAAACCAATGTTAAACATAGAAAAATTAGGTATAAATTGCACTTTTCTATGGCTAAATTAGAATATTTACAATATTGCCAGTCCATAAATAAAATAAAAACTATTACATATCGGATAATATACCACTAGAGAGAGCTATATCCTGATGTATTTACAAAATCGTCTTATAATCTTTAAGCTATCAGCTAAATTCGTTTATAATTTTGCTTACCGTAAAGTTAAAGCAAAAAAAAGAACAAACAGAAAAACTTGTACTATATAAGGAGTAGTAATTGATTTTGTCCTTTCCGAAGACACAAAAATAATGGTATTGCTGCTAGCCTAAAGCGATCCCTGACTTACTTAAAATAATGCCAACGAACCAGCTAAATGGGTAACCAATAACTTTCTAGTTCGAGGTAAAGCTCATCATTCCGGCCAACAACTTTGTACAGAAGAAATGTCATCGCATTGGGCCGTGGAGGAGCTGCAGTGGTCAGCTTTTACTTGCTCCCTGAGGCGCCACATCTCGCTGAGATTCGTGTGCCTCGGTGAGACCATAACAATGCTTGGCCGTTGGATCACGGTACTTGTTTTCATGCTCCACAGAGTGCGAATTTGTCCGACACTTGACCAGGCACAGCTCGAAGTGATCTGTCACGCTGGCAAAGATGTATTTTGGCGTATTGGGTGCCTGCAGAACGCGCTCCAGCAGTGGTTGCTGTCCAGGATGAAGGCAGCAGGAGACGCAGTATTCGTACACGCCACAGCAGTGGGTAGTGGTGTTGCAGGTGCGGCAGCTATAGTATCCAATGCCGGGAAGCTCTGGATTACAGCAGCCACTGGTTAGTACTTCCTCACGCCGGCACACAAATCCACGTTCATCGGCCAGCAGACGGCGGCCCTGGACAGAGTTGCGGCAGCGCCCATCCGGATCGCCACGCGTGCGATTAAGGTGCTCCTCGGGCGCTAAGATCTGCTGCGACCATAGTAGAGGTCGAGTCCGCTGCACCAGGTACTCATCATAGTGCAGCCCGGAAAAGGAATCCTGCGAGAACAGGATAACATAATTAGCAATTGCATTACATCGCAGAGGGAACAGTTTCTATGATTTTTAGTGTTCTTATGCAGCTTAGCAGGGAAGCCTGTTCATCTTTACTGACACTTTAAGTGATCTAGCTTACCCGATTGAAGAGGTGTCCAAATCCGTAGATGAGGGGAAGCACCACCAGAACAATATACAAAATTCGGCGTCTCAACAGGCGGGAGAGGGCGGCTGGCCACATTCTGGCCACAAACTAGCGTCCCATCACAGCCACCGCCGGCTGGAATCCTTTCGAGATGCGGACATGGCTATGGGCACTTGCTGCTCGCAACTAGCGATTCTTTTTGTATCAAAAAGAATCACAGCACATTAGATGCTGTTGTTCCTCGGTTGTTTCTAATGGCTGATCAATCAAAGTTACCTTCAGTTTACAAAAAAATTTAGTTTTCACTCAGAATTGAATTTGTCAACATTGAATGGATTTCCCTTTCAATGAAATCCAATTTCTTTCTTTGGGAAACTTCCCTTTTGGTCCCAATATAACAGCTGATTTCCAATTGGACAAAGGCATTGGCTTTGCTCAGGTGTTAAAGCGTACACTTAGCATAAATATTAACCATCTAAGCCTTTTAAATTTGCTTTGAAATAATTTAATCGGAGCTCTAGTTGTTTTAAAAACAAATTACAAAATATTTGTACTTTCCAATCAGCTGTAAATGGCCAGTGTTGTGTAAGGTACACAATGAGTGAAAAATACTAAACAAAAAAATACCAAACATAAAATTTGAAAAACGTTTTAGAAAATTGTTGAAGTTGTATTAAAAACTGATTGCTGAAGCTGACATTATCTAATAAATTTAAAATATGTTCTATTTCTACTTTGAGTTTCTTGAAATTCGTTTTAAATATTAAAATTTTATTTTCTAAAAGTCAGAAATTAACTTTACATAGTTTTAAAACTTCGTTAAAATCTATATTTTGAATAAATAAATATTCAAAAATGTTTTCTTGCTTATATTTGTGGAAATCCAACGATAATTTAAAATATTTTTCTATAATTTGAATCATCTCAAGGTATATTATCTGTAGATCTCCAATTAATTTTGTGTGCAATCAAACTTCTTCCAGTTTTCGGCAAAGGATTTAACCTTTCCTATAGGGTTTGACTCTTTTCTTGGCTTTCGCCAAGCATTCGGATTCAGTTCCAACATACCGCCAAGGATTTCCTGATTGAAAAACAAAGTTTAATGTAAAATTTTTAAGATTTAACAAGACTATCACAAACCAACCTGTGCAAAGTTGGCCGGAAAACGGTCCTCATCCTCGATGACGTGCGCAAATCCCGAGTCCATGCCAAAGTGCACCCACACGTAGGGCAGTCCCTTGGGAATGGCAGCTCGCAAGGACTTCTGGCGCAGCGATACTAGCTGCTTGTTGATGCACCACTCCTGCTCCGATTCTTCGATGGCCTTCTTGAAGTAGAAGGGAGCCATCTCACCCTGACTAGCGGGAATGGGAATGCAGTGCACGCTGAGATGGGGACGCCGATGCAGTTTGTTGGCAATCTCGTAGAAAACCACATCCTGGCGTCGGGCGGCAAACATGCGGGTGAGGGCCTTGCGGAAGTTGCTCATCTCCTCCCAGGCATCTTCGTCTAGCTGCGTGCAGCAAGGCACATGCTGCAAGGTCGTCAGAATGCAGTGGCCGCTTTGAAGACCCATATACCATGGCAGACTGAGGTAGATCTTTTCGCCCAATGAAACCAGCAACTGCTTGTCCAACTTGGCGGAATCAAAGCAGCGTTCACAGTTCTCCAAACTGGCCGCCAGCTTCTCATGCTCCCGTATGGCACTTTGCATTTCCCTCTTCTCGGCATCTCCGGTAGAGATTTGCTTACGCACCTTGTCAGCGAATATATCCTCTAAATCATCATTGGGATTCTTGTGCTTGGACACAATGTCGGCATACTGCAGGTTGGCTTCTGCGGCCGTAGCATGCTTCTCCCGCTCAAACTAAAGCATAAAAGTGTTAATATTAAGTTTTTGATGTTTGATAATTAGCTTACCATTTGCTTAATATCATAACGGTCGTCATCAGCGAAGTATCTAACACGTTGGCCATCTACATGGGTGTCCACCTTTTTGTTACTGCGTTTTTGTCCTCTTCGTCCGCCGTACAGTTCATTGGGATCAGTGGTTTGCACCAGTGGCCGCACATTGCCGCTCTTATCCACCTTGGTGAGCAGCACGTGGTCTGCAGAGGCTTTGGACTTGGCTGGTTTGGCATTTGCCTTTGGTGCCGACTGGCCAGAGGCAATAAACTCTGCTCTCTGTTTACGTGCTGTTTCAAGCTGCTGATTAAGTTCCACCGCCAGCTCCTTTTTTCCTTTCAGTTCTGCTTTAATAGCCTTACCAGCCAAGTCGTTGATTTGCTCATCTGTGAGGTATGATGGGGTGGACTTGGGCTGCTCCTCCACCTCTTCGTCAGAAGAAGTGACACTCCTAGAGCGAGATCTGCTTCTCCTTGGTGGACTGGGAGCTCTTGCACCAGGTTTTCGCCATCCGCGCGAAGATCCCTGACCGGAGCTAGTGGTATGCAGCTTGTCCTGTCGGTCGTCATCGTCTTGTGGTTTTTGAAAGCCGGGCAGACCCGTGCCGTTGCTCTTCCAGTATGGATTCAGCTCACGCCCACTTTTAGCTGGATCGTACGCATCAATTTGTTGTGCCTTCTCGTTGGGTTTGGCTGGTTCTTTGCGTTCCCTGGAAAATGTTTTCAGAAGAAGAGCTTCGCTGGTCATCCAACTGTCCCGCTGGGCAGGCTGCTTCTCCGTCACCTTGTCCGCTGTGGGAGGCGGAGGAGCCTCAACCCATTCATCTTCGCTGGCTTTTTCCTTACGGCTCTTTTTGGATTTCTTTTTGCGACGCTTTCGCTCTTTTTCATCCTCACTAGACGATGAGGTGGATGAGGATGAGCTTGAACAGGAACTGTCGCTGTCGCTGCTGCTGCTGTGACGCTTCCTACTTTTTTTGGATGACTTGGATTTGGACCTGGACTTGTGCTTGGAACTCTTCTTTTTTGGTTTTTTGGCGGCCTTTTCCAATTTTTTGGCCACCGCGGGCAGCATCCAGTCGGTTTCGCCGCGCAGTTCCCTTTGTCGTTCCCGCTGGCCACGGAGCTCCGCCCGATCCTTGGCCTGCTGTAGCATCTCAGACCGGGCCTCCCGAAGCTCCTGACGCGCCTTGTCTTTTTCCCTGCCACTCTCAAATTGTATAAAGCTCATGTTTTCTTTTATCCGTTCTTGTTTACCAAAACAACATTATTAGAGGTGGGATAAATCGCGACCTAGGTATATCGATTAAAGAAATATCTATCTATCTCTTTCGTTTTGGTATATAAAATATAACGTGTTACTTAAAATTTAAAACAGACGTTAAACCTTTTGTGCAAATATTTAAAAAGCAATTTTTACATATTAATTAAAAACTAATATACTAAGTCAATTTATAAAAATATGTTATTTAGTAATATCCACTAACTCTCAATAAGAATGTAAGAATGTGGAAGTTTTAATAATTTTTATTTATTTAACAATGTTTTAATGTTGTTCTGTTTTACTGAATTCTGAATAAGAAATTATTTCTTCACGACGATCAGCTTAAGGGTCCTAATGTTGCCAGAGTGGAATCCACTCGATAATTTAAATCCATTTTTTTTTTAATTTTACAAAATTTCCAGAATTTCAAGAAAATTCAAGTTAGAAGTTTGAGAATGGCGCAATTCCATTGTTCGATAAACAGGATGAGTTAGCGATGCGTAAAAGTTAAAGAATTAACTCATTAAACCGCGGTTTTGAAACTATAAACCATCAAATTGGCAAATGCAAATGAATATGGAACAAAACTAAACTTTACAATGGTACTGACATCGCGACAAAATAATTTTTAAGCTGCTTAGGAATACGTTTAATATATATGTTACAAAAGATTCCAAGTAGCTTTGAGAATTGGAAATATAAATTTGATTCTTGTAAGTCATATAAGGTAAAATCAAATTAAATAATTTATTTAGCTGCGTATGTTCAACGGTCACACTGGTTGGAGAAAGAACAGGAATATCGTATTTATCGGCGTTATCGGCTAAAGCTAACCTGGTTAATCAGCGGCGGACAACTTCGCAGGTGGACAGACGCCGAGCAGACGGACGAGCAGCGCCATCGCGACCGCCACCAGTTGCTGCAATCCAAACCAATACGATCCCAGCTAACCAGTGCCAGCTGTGAGCCACCTCTTCCCCCCAGCTCCACGTGTCCAGAGTGAAAGCGATATCCAAAATGCAGGTGCAGGGATTGCTCCTGGTGCTTTTGGCCCTTCTGCCCACCATGGCTCTCGGATTGCTGGAGGGTCTGTACTGTGGCAAGGACAACTGCTACGACGTTCTGGGGGTCACCAGGGAGTCGTCGAAGTCAGAGATCGGCAAAGCCTACCGCCAACTGGCCAGACGCTATCATCCGGATCTGCATCGTGGCGCAGAAGCCAAGGCGACGGCGGAGACACAGTTCAAGCTGGTGGCCACCGCTTACGAGATCTTGCGAGATGAGGAGTCGCGCACGGATTACGATTACATGCTGGACAACCCGGATGCGTACTATGCGCATTACTACCGCTACTACCGGCGACGCGTGGCGCCCAAGGTGGATGTGCGCGTGGTAATCGTCGTTGTTTTAACAATAGTCTCGGTGATTCAATACTATTCGGGCTGGCAGCGATACGACTCGGCCATCAAGTATTTTGCCACGGTGCCCAAGTACAGGAACCAGGCACTGGACATTGCTCGTGACGAAATCCAGGAGAGGATTCAGAAAAAGGGTAAAAATAAAATGTCCAAAAACGACCAGCGTGAGGAGTTGGAACGGATCATTCGAAAGGTGATCGAGGAAAAGATGGACGTGAAGGGCGGCTATGCCAAGCCCACGCTGTGGGATGTGCTGTGGGTGCAGCTGATCATTTGCCCATATACGATACTAACTTTCATCGTGTGGCATGCCCAGTGGTTCTGGCGGTACACAGTAATGAAACAGCCATACGGCCGGGAACAGAAATTGCACCTGATACGCCGGCATCTGGGCATGGGCCAGCATCAGTTTGAAGCGCAGGAAGATAAGCTGATCGAAGAGTACCTGCATCTGGAGCTGTGGAAGCGAGACAATTTCGTCGCCTGGAAAGCAGAACAAGACGAAGAGATGAAAAAGAAGCTGGCGGAGAATCCGCGATACAAGGCCTACAGGCGGTACATGAAGAATCACGGACCCGGGCGCATCACATTTGAAGATTAGCCGGCGGTGCGATATTCAAGTTCAATTGTTCCATCTAAAGTCTGTTGTATGTGTATGTAAGACCGATCCAAATTCCTCGCCAACCCCTAACGTTTAAATTTTGATACATATATTTATATATAGATATTTTTTGTACATCAACTAAAATATAAATTATGTTAATGCCCCCGGTGTCCGCCGAAGGGCGAAACGTTGACCCCGCCGGAGTGATCCGCCAAAACCGGTTCAAGAACGTGGCCAAGTTCGGTTTTCGTCACCACAGTGGCCGCTGGCTATCGTGGTCGAACCACCCTAGAACAATTATTCCCTTCCCCAAACATGGTCACAAAATCCACGTCGTATGCGTGTTTCCAACTAATTTGACTAACCCGAGTAATGTAATAAATAGATAGATAGAATTAAAACGTATCTCTTATTGAGTGTTTACTGTGGTCAGTTTGCACAGTTGTTTCTAGGTAGCCCAAAATTCGATTTCGTGGCATAAAAACACTGTCTTCTTTTGCCCCAAACAGCATCTTTCCGTGCTTTTGTTTATACAGTTTGCTTGGAAACAATTTTAGTTTTTGTTTGTTGCGTGGGTTCGGGGGGATCAATACTTTGAGATAAACTCAAGTACGTGCTTCATATGTAGAAAGGTGAAAAGAAAACAAGTGTGGATTTCGGTCATAGCCTTCAAAAGAGCGGTGTATGTTCTGGGAATTTCTGATTACTTTCCAAGCGTCAGTATTTATAATAAAAAAGATCAGTTTACTTATCTGATAGTAACATTAGAAATTTCTAATCTAAAGATGAATATGAGAGTATTTATCAAATTATAATAAATAAATACATACAATGGTAAACATTGTTGCAAGAATGTTGCGGTTAATTTAATTTAATATTTACAAAGCAGAAAAATAATTGCAAAGTCCCAAAAATCTGAAAATTATCATAGACTATATAAGAATAACAAATATTTTTATAAGGGAATATCTTTTCACTTTATTTACACCGATTTCTTAGAACTATGTTTCTAATTTTTGCGGACTAAAAACTACGGGGTGGGGATGTTTTGTGGGACCGTCATAATATGAAAACAGGCCCTTAGTAAAGTGGATTTGAGTTGTCCAGGGGATAATACTAGTCTATCATGTATTTGGATTCGTCGCCGAACTCCTCAGTGTCAAGCAAATCACCGACGAGCTCCTTGACCGATCGTACACTCTGATATCCATCGACATCATCAAAATCTGGATCCGGATACGGCTCGTCATTCTCCAACTCCTCGTCCTCATCCGCCTCCTCATCCACATTATCCTCCTCGTTAAACATGAAGTCATTCGCAACGATGCACTCCTCCAGAACCTTTGTCTGGTCGAGCACCACAGAATCCAACGAGAATGCCTCGGGGATTTGCTTACGCACTGGCTCCCTGCGCACAGGCTCTTTCCGGGTGGGCAAACGCAGGCTGCGAGCAGATCCGTCAACGGATGCCGATGAGCCCGATGCCTCTCCGCTTCCCGATCCACGGTGCTGGTCCATATGCGCCGACAGATAGCTCTTCTTGGTGAACCCCTTGTCGCAATGTGAGCACTGGAACTGCTTCTTGCCAGTGTGTGTCCGCCGATGGACGGACAGAACGTGAGCGTATGCGAATCCTTTGTGGCACACCTCGCACACATATGGTCGCTCGCCAGTGTGGATCCTCTCGTGCTTCTTGCTGCTTCCAAAGTCCGAGAAACGACGCTCGCAATAGCGACAGCTGTAAGGCTTTTGGCCGGTATGGACACGCATGTGGCGACGCAGCTCCACGTTAGAGATGAATGCCTTCTGACACACCTCGCAAGAATACGGCCGTTCATTGTTGTGCCGCCGCATGTGGGCATTCAGAGCGTGCTGATACTTGTACGTATTGCCGCACACATCGCAGATCTTCGGCGAGCGTTCGGAGTGACGGCGTTTGGTCGTGGAAGCGGGCTTATAATCTTCGTCCAGATCCGGTGCCGCCAAATTTCCCCGCTTGACAACGGGCGAAACGCGACGGTACGTGCGTTTTCTCAATTGGCTCGTTGGTTGAGGCGGTGGCAACGGCGGACTGTCTACTACGGACTCCTCCATTAGCGGCGTCTCAATCTCGTACAGATGCTCTGGTGTGTTGTCGTCATCCCAGGGATCCAGACATAACATCTTGGACTCCTCATCTTTCTGTTCGTCGGAGTCCTCATCTTCTGGCTGCTCCTTGATAGGATCTTGTTCATGCAGATCATTAAGGGATAAAACCATGGCACCATCTGGCATCAGGGAGAGGGCGTCACCGTCGGCTTCCTCAACGACATCCTGATAGTAGGAGGGCTCTGTGGCAGCGGTTATAGCACTACTAACTGAGCTGGATGAGCTGGGCTCCACGTCCAGGCGCTTGATTTTCAATGTGGCGGGCAATCGAAGCTGAGCCTGCACAAGATCCAGCTTTAGCTGTTCTTGTTGCTGGTCGAGAAGAAGCGAAGCGGTGGTAGCCGCGGAGGACATCGAAGACGATGTGGCGCCAGTGGCCGAATGAAATAGCTTTTGGACGACGGCGCACTTCTCGTGGAACCGATAGGACACAGACAATTCCAGGTGACATTGCTTGCAGATCTTGTCAGGCCAGCGCTGCAGCTGCGACGGGTTATTGTCCAGCTGCAGGCCGGTGCAGCAACGGATCTTTTCCAATATGAGCATGTGCGGCGACTCCGGGTCGTGGCCATAGATGGAGCTCGCCTCGGGCTCCTCCACCAGGCAGACCAAACACGCCACGCCTAGGTCCACCACCCGTGGCTCCAGGTTATTGGACATTGCTCCGATCTCGGTCTCGGGCTAAAGCTGGGCTATAGCTGATCCTCAAGCTGAGGGCCAAAAATTCACACACGCGCAGCCAAAAAAAACTCTGTTGTGTTAGGGATGTGAGTTTCCTGTTTTTCGGTACCTGCTATATACTCACGACGCTTGCGAGGTTCACGCAACCGATAGGTTGACTACTATTGACTAGATAGAAAACGTATATGCAATAAGATATCCCTCAAGGAGCTCTAAAATTGTTTAATTATAGAAAAATAAATTTTTATTATAATCATTTATTTTTGTAACAATTTCAAATGATATGAAAAGTTATCGATGGACCGATAATAGTATCTTTGCTCGCCTCTAGAAACATTTTCGCTTATCGACAACCGACACAATCTTTCAGCAAAACGACAAGTGCCTTAGTTGTCTACTAAATAACTTCGCTAAGAAGAAAATTTAACATTTCATATTCAGTTCTTCTTCCTGCGGGAAAGTGCTTTATTGTTTTATTTCTCGAAAGCTTAAACATAAAGAAAATAATTTCGCGCCCATCCAAAAACAAATTTATCGGTCGATTGGAAGATTTGTAATTTTAAAGATAAGTTATTTTGCAAGCTAAGAATTAATTATGGAATACAAGCCCGTGTTGCAATTCAACCAGCTCCTCTTTGAGTTCTTCACCAAACTAGAACCGACACATGAGTCTCTCAGCGGTGCAGTGTATGCATTGGGACTAAAACGATGCGGCGAGATTATTCGCTACAACAACGAGGATATGGCCTTACAGGGTGACTTAAGCTTGTCGGCCTTCGCGCCCTACTGGCAAAACTTTGCCAAAAAGCTGGGACGCACTTTACGCCGAGATGATGACCTTCTGCTGCCTGGCCCAAAGGAGCGCCAGGAGCTTATCGATCTGTCTAACGAGTGGATCTTTCCGATTTCCGAAATTTCCATTTTGCATAAGGAGCGCTATTTTCTCTTTTTCCAACGCCGTCCGATCATCGCCTATGTCCTAAAGTCAGTGTTGTCACCGAATGAAAACTACGGACGTCCGCTGAAGACGGAGCATTCGCCCACTATATACTTGAACTTCCAAGCCAATTCCGGTGCAACAGATGGCTCCCAGGAGCTCCGCCAATACCGCTTGCAGCAGCTCTACAATATTCTGCTCCGTCTGGTGGACTACTCGTCCTGGCGTTTGGTGGATTCCAATAATCGTAAGAAAGACACCCTTTGTGTGTCCGTCGAAGCGCAGAAATGCTTTCAGAAGGAGGAGCCCAAGGATCATGTCTGCATCGTGAGCGGTCCTGTTTTGGAGCCCGTCAAGAAGACAGCCACCACATTGACTTTCGATCAATATTTGGAGTGAGTATATTCTAAAATAACTTAGTGCACAAGTTTTTAGCTTAAAAGAATAATACATATGCTTCCATCTCGTTCTTACTCGTGTTTATATCGGTGTTAATTTTTCAATGCAGGCTGCGCTCCTCTCATATGCGTCTGATGGCCATGCACCGCTATGGAGTCCGCCCGACTGGTTTGTGCGGCATGGATGCACTAATGAAGCGTCTTGGAGCAGCTGCCGTAATCGTGGATCTTTTCGAGGTGCGCCATGCCACCGCCGTCACTGTGGTGCGCTCTGGATTGGGCAGCTCAAAGGGAGCGTCATACATTCTATACAATTCGGCTCGACTGGAGACCATATTGCGCACATTTAATAATCATGTCGAGGATGGCTACTATAATTCATTGCCTCCACTAAAGGAAATCGATCTTAGTGTTTTAGAGGAGGATGTAAGCGGATGATATATGGGTTTCTTGTAAATTTTCTATTATTAATTTTTTTAGATGGACTGGCATTTGATTTTTGGGTACCTTTTCGGTTTCCCGGAGTTGCTCGAATCCCTAGTAGATCAAATGTCTCAGGGTCAGTGCGGTGTTCACCTGCTGGTGCGCTTTATTGAAAATCTGGCTAGCGCCTTCAGTCGCTACTATCGTCAGAAGAAGGTACTCGTCCAGAATCGCGATCAATTGATGCCAATTCTGTACGCCAGGATCTACCTTATGTTGGCTGTGCGACAGGTGCTGAATATGGCACTGTCGCTGTTTGGCATTGAACCGGTGGATTATATTTAAAGATCTATTGAATAGATCACCTAAACAACCTAAAAAAGAGGCTTATTAGATTCGTAACCTGTCACAAAACGGATACTGTCGTAAACAGTATCTGATAATTTATACAAGAAAACATGTGATCTTCATAATCATTTGATACTGATGTATTTTTAGTTACATCTATACTTCCATCGACTAGACTATACATTAATCATAATCATAGAATTACACGCACTCAAAATGGAAACCCACCACTTAACAAGTGTCAAAGGAAAGACTTGGTTTTTTTGTAAAATAAAAAAACCCCTTTGTGTATTTGATTTGTTTATTTTAATGTAAAATCAAGTATTGATTTAACTTGTGAATGCATATTTTGCACTTAATCCTAGCTTATTAACAAAAAGATTTAATTGGCAATGAAAATACTAAGTATTTATTTCATTTTCTTAGCAAATGTACATAGGAACCACTTATTGTTAGTTTTTAATTTTAATTCTCAATTTACAGCATTTCAACTTGACTTGGAAGTATGGAATAATTTACTAAAGTATTATGGAATTTAAATTATACAAGAATGGCATGGACATGACTATTAATCATAACTGCGGATATTTAAAATAGTATCGACATCGTCAGAAAACTTAGCTAATAGTTGTTCCAAAAAATGTGACTTATATTGTATTTAATTAAGCAACTAATATTGTGTATCGTTAGCTATATTTGATCCTACTAATTTACAAGTGTTCACCTATCCCTTTAATGACCATAAAGATATATGGATCATTAGTTGGTCTAGCTTAGCATTAAGGACTAACGAATGGATTTGGCATATCGGCTGACTTACTCACACTCACACGCACTCATTTAGGAAACATTTAGCATAATACTATATGGCAGGATCGCTGGTTAGGATCACTGGATCTGGATGGGAACGATCATCACCTGGCCTGCTGCTGTTGCTGTTGCTTTTGGCGATTAAATTCGGCGGCAAACTGGACATTTTCCGGGTTGCTATGGAAAAGCTGCTCCATCAGTCTCGTGCTACCCAGGGAATTGGCCTTGGTGCCCAGGCACATGTTATACTGCGGAGCATCCAGCTGGACATCACAGCTAATGTCATGATAGATATGAACGAGCGTAGGATCTGGTGCGCGGAAAACACTCAATCTTCGCCATTGTTCGGCGGCCTCATTATAGTCCATGGCCAGCTCGGCTGTATTGGCCAGGAAGCCGCGCTGTCTGGTTCCCACCCGCACAATCTTCTCCAAGAACTTCACATCCTCCAGGCCCCAGCCAGTGATGTCTTTGTCAAATCCATTGATATCCTCGTCGAGAATATCCGACTTGTAAATGGCGCAGATTCCGAAACCAAATTGCCGGAAATAGCCCCGTTCGTCGTCGATCCTTGGAGTTTCCCCATCATCGGATCCAGCTTCACCGGTCCTTCTTTGCGGATCGTATTGGCTAAAGACTATGGGCAGATATACCTGCTTGCCCCGCTGCGTGTGCATCCTCACCCGCTGCAGGGTCTCAACTTCAAAGACCATGTCCACGTCGATAAAGAGAATGATGTCCTCCTGCTTGATGTACGAGGATCTGGCTGCGACATCCAAGGCAACGCCACGCGAGAAGGCGGTACTTCTTTGGATCCAGTTGACCTGCTGGTAGACATGCCTGGCATGTAGATCGTGGAGCAGCTGCAGATGATCACCCAGTTCGTCTGGCGAACCAAAGATCACGACCAGAAGATCACAGTGCTGGTCACCACGCACACAGACACGCTCGTAGGTGCGAAGGAAACGCTCGAAGGTACCCAGGCGACCAGCGATGGGTAGGACGAAGACGATCTTGTCCTGCGCCGGCGATAGCAGTCCACTGGGCATAGTGAAGTGACTGCTTAGGCGGGCCATTCCGTTCTGAAAGAGGCTGCCCAAAAGACCTGCCAGTGGAAAGGGGAAAGAGATGTTATAGACTACTCTGTCATATGGTTTTACCCTTGAGTAGTCCTTTAGGTACTCACTCTGCTGCAGGGTGACGTTGTAGAAGTCCTCGTCGAACTCCTTGACAAAGATTCCGGTAAAGGCCCGCTGGACATAGAGATGCCTTCGCACTGGCACCGTCATCTTTTTGCCGCGATACTTTTTGTAAATGAGAAGGAGATCCAAGATCAGATCCTGACCGTGCAGTGCATCCAGACGATGGTATCCGTAGAGCAGTTCCCGGAACTCGATTACACGACCTCGCTGCCTGGAATAGTTGTTGATGTTTTCCATCACCTCGGTGATCACGTCCTCGAGACCTTCCCGCATCGCCGAGTCGATCTTCTGCTTGGGATTGGCCGAACTGGCTGAGTAAAGGCTGCGAGCGATGAAGGACCAGTCAAGAAGATCATCGGTGCTGCCGGGCACGAATTTATTCAGTTCCGGACTGATTCCTTTGGTTGAGAAGGAAATAAGGATGAATTAGAAAGTAGCCAATGTTGGGTAAGTTAAAAAAACAAATTTAGTTTACTAAATTTTAGCTTAAATAGGTTAAAAATATCAAAAATCTAAAGTTCAGTAAGAACTCATGCACTTTCTCCGCTTATCAAAATGATTTGAATCCACTTGTGGCCACCCTGGAACTGGGCCAATGCTAATGTGGTCTAATGGAAACACACCCCAGGTGGTGGTTGGTGGTTAATTTTCCGGTAGGTTAGCATGATATTTCCCAACGGAGTTGGCCTTTAAAACGAACGTCTGACGACGTCAACAGTCAGATCGGATTTGGTTAGGCCCGGCCATAAAACCTCAAGTAAAAATGTTGCTCCAAGCCAAGCGACTGCCAATCCTGCTGCCCCTCATCTTCAACTTCATTTACGTTCAATCCTTGACCTCCGTGGAGCAAGTGCAACCGACAGAGGAGCAGCTATCATCGTTTTGGCTGAGCCAGGCACAGGATCAGTTGGGTGAACGTTTGGCCAGAACCAAGGATGCCATTATCGACACCCGTAAAGCCAAAAATGTGGTGATGCTTCTGGGCGATGGTCTGTCCATCACCACCCTAACGGCCGCTCGCATCCTCAAGGGACAACGTAGCGGTGCACGTGGGGAGGAGGCTCAATTGGCCTTGGAGCGATTTCCTTTCGCCGGACTCAGCAAGACGTACTGCGTCGACGAACAGACACCGGATTCCGCGTGCACGGCCACCGCCTATTTGGGCGGTGTGAAGACGCATAGCGGCACTGTGGGTCAGAGTGCCAGTGGTGAGCGGGTGGACTCGGTACTGCAGTGGGCACAGCAAGCGGGCAAGGTCACGGGCATAGTGACCACCACCCGATTGACGGATGCCAGTCCTGCCGGAGCCTATGCCCATGTCCGAAGGCGAGGCGAGGAGTTGGAGATTGCTCGCCAGCTGGTGGAGGATGAACCAGGCAAGAGCCTACATGTCATCCTGGGCGGTGGCCTTAGCAAATTCACCGACGAGCGAAGGGATGGCAAGAATCTACTGACCCAGTGGCGGGAAACCAATCCGAATGGCTGCTTCGCTCGATCCCTGAAAGATCTGAGAAACTGCAGCGATGCCACGGGCAGCCTTCTGGGTGTCTTCGGTGACAGCCACATGTCGTATCATTTGGCTGCCAGCAAGGAGCAGCCCAGACTCTGTGAAATGGCAGCGGCGGCCATCGAAAAATTGCAGCAAAAATCTCAAGAGGATGGCAATGGCTACTTTGTGTTCATCGAAGGCGGCAGGATTGATCATGGACACCACGAGACACGAGTGGGCTATGCCTTGGATGAGATGCTGGAGTTTGATGCGGCCGTGGAAACGGTGATCAAGATGACCGATCCTCGGGAAACCCTAATCGTGGCCACCGCTGATCATTCGCATACACTCAGCATGGCGGGCTATGCCAAGCGAGGAACCCCCATTCTGGGAATGGATGCCCAGCAGCGGGACCTGAATGGAGTACCGTATAGCACCTTGAACTACGCCATTGGCAAGTGGCAGAGTCTGGACAAGGAGGGCAAGAGGGAGAGCCCTAGCAAGACCCTCAGTACAAGTTAGTAACAAAATATGTGATGACTACGTAACCCCTAATCTCTTCTTTTCCTTTTAACTAAGCCTCCTACACGCCCAGTTACATTCATGGACGAAAGGGTGTACATTCTGGCGAGGATGTGGCTGTATTTGCAATGGGCCCTCAGGCCCATCACTTTGGCGGCATTATGGAACAGAATCTGCTGCCCCATATCATTGGCTATGCGGCTTGCCTGGGCAGTGGTGTGACCCTTTGCAGGCAGGAGAAGGATAACGCCACGGATGTATCTACATTTGCCTGATTCCTCAGAGTTTCTCAGATATGTGTGTAAATTGTTTGTTTTCAGTTATTTGGAATATATAATGTTTAGTTTAAAGTCCACTTTGATATCCTTAAGATTGATTACAAACTTACCCAATATATTGTGATCCTGGAAGTGCCTTTTGCCCGTATCACTTTCTGGCGAGGCACTGGGCAGCATGTAGGTGCTCTCGTCGGGCACTTCCAGGTACTTGGCCATACGCTTGATGTCGCGATGCAAGAGCAGCGATTCCTGGCGCATCTCCTCCGCCTTCAGACCCTGTTTAGGAGGAATCAATTATTTGTAAATATTTTTTAATAATTTTAAAAATATTTAAAAACTAACCTGGACATAGGAGTGCAGGCGGTACATGAGGGGCGCCTGTTTAATGGGATGCAGGGTGATGGCATTGTGGATCTCCTTTCGTTTCAGTTTTCCCGTATAGGCATTTCGGCCACTTGAGTTATGCCGCAGGATGTACTGCATCTATATATGGGTAAGGAAGTTATATATACATATCAGATCCATTACTATATTCTTAAATTTTTAGTTAAACCCACCTCATAGTTCCAAGTGCAGGGAATGCCGGCGAACTTCTGCACACACCTGCCCACCTCGACGTCCTCGTGGGTGCTGTACAGATTCTTCAGGCAGCTGGGTATGTGTGGTGCCACGCGGCGTAGGGTTTCGCTGCTTAGAATGACGCCCGGTCCGCCCATGCAGAAGTTCTCGTCGAACTCCAGGGATAATAAGCCGAACTCCTCGCTATTTCCCTTGCCCGCCTGGCCAATGAACTGCGGCTTGGAGCTATCAATGGAGCGGAGGAATCGTTCCAGCTTGGCCGGCTCCATGTAGACATCGTCGTCCGCTCGGATGAACCATTCGAACTTATCGATATAGTGTTCGTACATATAGTATAACATCATGAAGGACTTCTTTTGCGGCGGATACCGATCGTCGACATTTTTCAGACCCACCACGGGCAGATCATCGGAAAAGCTGCCCTCCGAACTAAAGAAGGCCATCCTGCCGGGCACCTCCTTGCCCCACGTATCGTACACAGCTCTCGCTCTGCCCTCCAGAAAACTCTTCGCCGTCATCACGCCCACAAAGACGAGATTCTTTTGGGAATTCTGTATGGTATCCTCTTCCCGCAGGCCAATAATCTCCGCCGGCGACTTCAGATTCGTTGGCCGCAGACTGCAGCGCTTCACGATCTCCAATGCCCGGTAGTTCTTGAGCACGGTGCCGATGCAGAGACCCAAGGCGATCCCAAAACAGGCAATGATCAGCGTCTTGCGCTTCGTCATCGTGTGCTGCAACATTTTGGATGTATGTTTGTATATTTAACCCGTTTAATCCGAATCCAAATCGCTCGGGGATCCCAATGGCAGTGGTGTTTCAGTGAGCGGCGTTCATGGGAGTCTCTCTGTGCGTAGGAAAAAGAAAAAGGGGGATAAATTCTATAAATTAATGGCACGTGCCGGGCCAGCCGGAAATATTACTCATCTCATCCGTATGTATGGCTACACAGAGGAAATATCACTGTACTAGAGCAAGGTTTTAAGGTAAATATACTCTTGAGATCAAGAAATCAATAGGGTTAGCTTTTCTTTTTGCCTTTGCTTATTTCTAATCTATATTATGTATGAAAAGCTTTTCAGTGCAATATATTTTTTAGATATTTAACTTATTTAAATTTGGCACATTTTTTCACTGTGTATGCCTCCCAGCAACGACTGCTTTTTGCATTAGAAATTACTGAAATAAATTTCAGGGAAAAGTAAAACCCAGAGGGGTAAAATTATGATAAAATTCTTTTTAAATTTGATTTAAAGTAATTGTTAGTTAATTTAATATAAAGAAAGTGGCCATTTACTCTAAAGGCGTTTTAGTTTGATTGAATTTTAATATATTTTTTGATATATTAGATTGTTCTTTAAGCTATTATTCTTGGCTATATATAGATATCTTTTTAACAAGTAGTACCCCTAAATCTTAAGTACTTCCTTCTTCTCCCTTCAAATTAAAACTCTAAACATAAAGGTAATATAAAATTCTAGATCTAACCCTTTGATAACCGATTACTTTCCCTGAAATCTAAAATCTATATAAAATTCGATTCCATCCTCACTCTAAGCGTGAGTAAGATCGAAATCTGAAGTCTGTGAGTGGTTCCGCAAATATTTGAGTTTGGGCGGCGTTTTCCTGGAACTGTTTTCCATTAGCCTCGGATATACTGGTATCCGGTGGCCCTGTTACCCCGCTGCCTGAACTTCGAGACACTTCAGACACTTGAGCTGAGATTTGAGTTTAAAAATATGCCCGACACAGGGAGCAGACTTGTCGTGAAGAATCTAAAACTATTTATAAATTGAGACGATTGCGTTGGCGGCGACAGACCCGGTAAATTGGACAATCTACAATTGTTGCAGCTCTGTCCGGGAATTTAAAGCACTATGGACGCCTTCCAGGGAGTCTCGAAAGATCTCTTTCTATCGCTATATCTATCTTTCTACTACCTCCACTCACATAACCAAATGTTAATTAAATAAACAAACAGCGCGGGAAACTATTTGGTTTACAAATCAAAGGCCGGCAAACGTAAACTGGAGCACACATTAGGAATAAACGGAAGGTGTTGCTTTTCCATTAGCCTGGCCTCTATTAGTTTTTAGTTAGACAGCAAGAAAAGCTTGCAATTTATTAGTTATTTTTATAAGGAAATTGATATTGAAAGATTCTTTGAATTTACATTTTCTGTTAATATTTTAGGGATTTACTTATCTACATAATATTATTGATTATGATTTTCTTTAACCTATGTATTTTTCTCTGTGTACTTTTAGCATGGTCTTGACGCACAAGCATTTAGCTCGCCAACTGACCTTCTCTCCATAGCCTGAGTCACCTGTACAGGTGCGACCTTAGTGCGGAATCCCGCCCTGCGTACGTATTTCTTATGCAACTTCTAGCACTGATCTTAACTTATGTTTTTTATATTTTTAGCTACAAGTTGCTCCCCTATTTTCCTTCTGTGAGATAAGGAAACTTTGATTTATTGAAATTATTTCGCCTAGGCTTATCTGGATTGAGAATAATCAGAATCAGCTCGGCTCGGCTCGGCCAATGGAAGGGTATGAAAATCCGGGCAAAAGCTGAATTCGTTTAATGAACTTTTTAGTGCCCAAGTGTGTTCCCGTCCGAGTCTCGTTTCGGTTACGCGGACCTTGACGGCAAGTTTAAGGCATTTAAGCGAGTCTGGTTTCTGTTCAATTTCAACCGGAGGCTAAGATTTCTCAGCATCGATAGTGCAAAAACTATTACAAATTTGTATAAGGAATGTGTTTGAAGTTTCCAGCTAAATCGGTAAGTAATCTGTGTAGCTAAAATATCATTGTTATTAAACAAAATGTAAGGTGAATGAATTTGATAAGGATGATTTGGCAGTGCTTTTTGTATTTATTAAACTGAGTATACATTTTAATCGGAATAACCAAAGTTCGTCATGAATTCTATTAAGAGATGTCTGAGTTAAGAAATTCTTGGGAACTCGTTGAAGTAATTGAAAGGTTGCTTATGTTTCTTGATTGTTAGATTATGGTAGCTATTCGATATATTTATTATCATATTTTTTGACTTAACATCTTAGGAACAGTAGTCAAGAAAGTGCAGAAACCTTAATAACGCAACTATAAGTTTTTTATCAAATGTATTTTCTGTTAACTTTTACCTATAAGTGTTGGGTCATATAAGTATAATATAAATCTATAAATAATAATTGTTATTCCTTTAATACACTTTTGTTAATGGAAGAATAATTAACTATCATTAATAAGTTTAAAAAATAACACAAAACCCTCGTGATTCACATTCTTCTACCCCACAAAAGAGATACATTTTCACCCACAAACTTAAAGATTCTTTGCTAGCCTTAAGCTTTATGTACAAAACATAGACCTCACATATCGACCTTAATTGAAATACTTAACGGTACTTAACATACTATAGCCAACTCACCTGTTCCTATCCGATCAAGTGGCCGTCGACTGCAAAGTTAGCACTTTTTCCGCTTTTTTCGCTGTGTTTTTTACAGCCTTTTCTGCTGTCCGGTTGTTGTTGGGCCCATGCAATTCGCATTGATCGGATGATCGGGGAGTATTACTTATATATATGCAGATATATATAAATGGAGTGGGAGTGGGAGTTGGAGTGGCTGTTGGCCTGGGGAGTAACTGCCTTGCAAGAGCCGAGGATCTCGACTAGGGGCTACGCAATTGTTGAATGTTGACAATTGGTCGGTCGTCTCCGGGGGAAAGACAACACACTCACAGGCACACACTCGTACGCACACACTGACTCGCTCACAGATACTCGGTAGACGCACACAGCGACAGCATTTCAGTGAGCACACAACAACAACAACACATGCTGTTTAATTATTATTAGCCTCAGTTGTTGTTGTCATTGCTGTTTTTTTTTTTGTTTTTTATTTTTGCTGGTTACGACGATAAGTTCGCAAAGGTCGATTCACGAAAAAAAAAATATAAGATAATAAAAAACTTTAGCCAACACGCACACACACACACACTCACGAACGAAATAATTAAACCAATTTCATAATATGCAATTTCACTTTTTTGCTCGCTCCAAGCGGTGAATTAATTAAGTTAATATTTCTGCTTCTTTAACCATAAACTTAGCACGCCTTTTGGTTTTCGTTTTCGTTTTTTTTTGTGGTGTTTTGTGCTAAGAACAAACGTCGATAAACGTTGAATTCCGTCCAAGAACTAACCGATCCGAACCGATCCGTTCCAATCCATCCGAAAAGTCGCCGCGAGAGTGAGCGGACCCGGCCACCTTTGCCTTGCCTGCGAAAGTATCTCTCAGATACTTTTCAGCTCTCCGCAGCTGGCACTGTTTGTGTCAGTGATGCGCTGGTGATTTCTGAGCACTGCGATCACTTTTAGTGAAGCGAGGAGCAGCAAGGTTTTACGGGTGAACTAAGAAAGAAGGGTTAGTGGTTTCATATTCACCTTTTTGGGGATATTTTTTGCATTTTTTTTATTGGTAGCTTTATGTTAAGCTAAGAGCTTGCTTAACCCTTTGAAAGATTCGTCGTAGTTGCTTTTTTGAGAGCTTAAAAATCAAGTCTATGAAGTACTTAAGTCATTGACAGATTTTTATTAAGATTAAACAAGAAGCTTATTAACTTAAATAAATTAAACGAATCTTAAGAAATAATGAATTATAATTCGAAAATTCATCAAAAAGCCAAAGAAAAGTTAATATTAAATCAAAAATAAAGTTCATTTCCTTCCCTTAAAATCAAAAAATCAATATAAACTTTTCTAAGAACCCAAAATATGTCGCAAAACTAAAGAAAACCAAAAAATGCTTTAAGAAGTTGATTTGTTTGTGGCACCTCCCCTTGGCGTGTGTGTGTGTGTGCCGTCGTATCTGTGTGTTTGCCGAGAGATGTGCGTAAATGTATCTGCAGCTGTATCAGTATCTGTATCTGATAGCTGGCCGTTGAGTGGCTTGCTCATCGCAACGCTCGCTATCTCCAGCCGGGCTGACATGTGGTGTGCGTGGTCATGGCAACATGTGGCCCGGAATTACTCGCTTCGTTACTCCCGGTTTATAGTTCGCGGAATTTACAAAAAACAAAAACTAAACTTTTTCGCAAAAAATTTCCAAAAATTAAATAAACAAATTTTTGTGGTGGAAATGGGAATTTTTTAGTGGCAGAATGAAGGCAATTTGTATTCGTAGGGAATATAGTTTATAGTTTTGCAATAATTATTTAAGTTATTTATTATGAAACTTTAATTTAGATAAATATATATAAAAACTTCTTTTAATTTATAAATATAAAGAAAACTTAAATCTTTATTGTTTTAAAGTTAATAATAATCTAAAAATAGATCTTACCTTTTCAAATTTAACTGCAAAACTAGTTTTGAATGTCGGCACAAGCGGGCGCTGCTTTTCGAACGCGCCATCTAACTGTTTGGCTTTTACTCGTTGTCTACCTAAACGTAGTTCTACAAATGCCTGCCTAGATGGCGCTATTCAGCAATGTAAAATCTTATTGGAAATTATTTAAATTATTTAAAATCTATTTTAAATGTTTTAAGAATGCTTTAAATTAATAAATAGTGTAAGTAAAATTTGTCAATAATTTATTTATATTTATATATAATTTTTTGTAGGATTATTTTGTTCATAAAATATTTGAAAATTCCTTTAAAATATTAACTTACACTAATCTAGGTTAGTTTTCTTAGTAAGCCCCTTATATTTAAATAAAACCAAGTTGATAGTTAGCAAAATAATGTTGTAACTAGTGTAAGTTAAGCTACTAATATGCATAAACCTCCTGGGGGTGTAATTACCTTGAGATATCACGCCCAAAGGATCTTAATAATCCCTTTTGCATAGCTGCCTCCTTACGAGGTGCTACAACCAAGGGTAGCCCCCCATAGAAAAAGCGATCCATCATGATGGAAATCGCTTAGGTATCATTAGCTAGAAGCTGGAAGCTGGATAAAAAATGGGAAATGGAAAACAAATGCGTTCCAGCTAAACTGACAGCGGCGAATACAATTAGCCATGTTAATTCGCGGCGGGTATTCAAATGGCCAACTCGGATCGGGGGTGGTTATGTTGTGCTTCGTGTAAATTACAACTAACACTATAAATTTTTGCATTTTTCAAGTTTTTATTTTTCCATTTTTGTTATTGCATTTAACATTAGCTTAATGCCATCATAAATTTTGTGCTCGCTTCCAAAGGCCATAAATACATTAGCAATGTCTAAAAAAAAAATAAAATAGGAAAAAAGAGTGAGAAGGAAATGCGAGGGCGGTGGCGAGGGCGAGGGCGGGGGCGGGGGCGGCTCATTGAATTTCAAAATGATGCTAAAGTGAGAAAAGTTTTCAATTGAATTTAATGCGAAAAGTTGATATGCAAATGCAAATGCGACGCGATCGGTGCGATGTTGTTTACTTTAATTTATTATTTATTTATTTATCTATCCATCTATTCCGCTGTCGTTTCACTTGTACATCCATCTCTCTATATCTATATCTATATATATATATATCTATCTATATAAATATATTTAATCTTTAATAAATGGGAACATTTAGCGGCCCACAGTTTAGTTTATCGAATTTATCGCTCAGAGCTCTTCGATCGGCCGGCTAACCGGCAATTAAATGCACATTAATCATTCACCTTCGCCCCCTCTCTTTCGCTGGGCCGCGCGCCCTCTCTTTCTAAAAGGAGCACTCGACATGTGTTTGCCCATCGGCATCTCATATCGGCGTATATATCATCGGGGGATATATCTTCATTTCCATTTTACACGATGACATGCCTTGCGATCTCATTTGGTAATATATTTAAGGGATTTTTTATTGCCATTAAGCGTTGATTTATTATTTATATAAAAAAAAAATTCAAAAATAGATCAAATAAGTTTAGATTTACCTATTTTTTGTACATTTTTAAAGATCAAATTATTGCATGTTTAAGATTCTTACATGAACTCTAGATTGAGTACTTTAAATAGCTAGAATTTAAGTATTATTTTAAGGTTTTATTGTTGATTTGCTCTTCTAATTTAAATGCTAATATAAAAACCACAACAACCAGGGGCCAGGCATGGGTTAAGGGGGTCAAATTAGCCACCTTAACCGCCGAGCATTTTCAGCTATTAATTCAATCGCCAGCTAACCAGTTGCCATGTGGCCAGTGGCCAGTTTTAGTCTCCCTCTCTCTCTCCCTCTGACGATCCGATTAAGTCGGGCAAACCACTTGATGGCTTAATTATCTACTTAACATACTTAAGAATATTAACTGTTTTGCGATGCATTACATTGCCGGGGCCATCACAATTATTTTTTAATTATCTACTTAGCCAGAGAATTTTTCTCATTTCTAGATTTCATTTTTTCACCCATTTCATTACGAATGATAATGTGAGTGGCTATAAAATGTTATTTATTTTTATTTAGATAGTAAAAATGTTAAAAAATATAAAAAAATACTGTAGCTTTCTTTAGAGTAGCTAAAAAAGAAAAAACTGAGAAAAACTTCAAAAGAAAACCCCAACTTCTGGCAAATCGCCACCACCTTTCCATTCATTGGGAAATCGGCATTTTACTATCCATATAATTTGTCAGCATTTTGTAGTCTCGATTATTTTGTGTAAGTTTTTTTTATTTATTTAGTTTTTTTTTTGCTGCTGCTGCAGTTACAGTGGGGCAACGAAATGTGCAACTCAGCGTCGATTTCACTGTTTCTGTTGATTTGCCACCGTGCTGCCTGCCGCCCCATTGCATTGCAAGCAGCAACCTCAATCAACCTCCCTCCATCAGTTGCCACTTTTGCTTGTTGTTTGATTAAATTGTTTCAATTGTAAACGTTGCTCGCAATTTGTCAAGTCCAAGTGGCGTGTTTGTGTGTTCCTCTTGTTATTTTTTTAAGTTTTTTCTTTTTCGTCGTTGTTTGTGGCGCGTGGCGCGACTTCGAATTAAGAAAACAAAAAATGCAAGAATGGAGGCAGGAGCAGGCGGCCAGACCAGCAGATACCCAGTGTTTGGTTTGAACTAATAAGATCTTGGGAATTATAAAGATATTTTTGGATTTTAAGGCAAGTAAAACTTAAAGAAAACTAGGGTTTATGATGATTTTGGGTTTACAGATTAAATCAGAAAACTATAACTTAGTAATCCTTCAATTTAGTTAGAAAAATCTTATGATAACCAAGGCTAGCATCAACTTAAAGTTAACTTATATAGCTTTCCTTGTACTGCATTCTATATATAATATTAAACCCAACTTATGAACCCTTCTTATACTAATAGGTATATATCTCTTCTATATATATATCTTACACATTCTTCAAGTCATACATTCCCATTAGCCATAAATTTGAACTCGCTGGCAAAACAAACAGCAGGCTAAAATTGCCAATTTTTGTGCATTTTGTGCTCCTTTTCAAAACTAATCACGACTAATGAAAGACAACAACACAGCAAGTAGCAAATGGCTTTTTTGGGGTCGGTCACGCCTCTTTTTTTTATATATATAAAAATATATATATATATTATAAAGCCGCCAAACCGCCCCCACACCTGGTGATTGACAGAGCGCCTGGGCACGGCCAAAAAACAATCGAAGCCGCTTCAATCTGGACCCACAAGTAGAGCCAAAGCCCAGAGTCATAGTCATAGACCAAGTCAGTTACAAAGTCAGCCCCAGTTACAGATATATGTATATATATAGAGAGAGAGAGATATATATACAAACTGTCCTCGTTTGGTCAGCGGGCGCTGTGCTGGCCATAATTTAACCAAATGTCGTGCCAACGACAATGACGTCGACTTTGCCAGTCAGCGATCACGCTCCGGTTTCTGGCTTCGATCCATAATACCCTTGCCAGGCCAATCTCCAAGATCTCTTCAAATGGATAATGCAGTTTGTATGGCATCTTAAAAATAAGCCATGAACTTGTGAAATTTTTAAAATAAAATAATAAGTAATTGTATTTTTAATTTAATAATAAGCTTAAGCTTAGTTTCTAAGGAAAGTCGCATGATAATCTTAAATATTTCTCGAGATCAAGGATTTTCGGCTTGAACTATTTAAAAATTTACTTAAGAAGTTTATAATTTACACTTCTTAAATATCATCAGGCATAAATATTAAGTTTTTTACTTATTAATTTTCAATAATAATAGCAAAAGAAAGGGATTTTCAGGGAATTCAATTTTCAGCAAAACAAAGTTGCACATTTTCTTCCA